CGAGCCTCGCGGCTCGTTTTCATAATTATTGACAATCGGCGACTATAAAAACGAGCTTCAAGGCTCGAATATCTCGAGCTCGGATCTCCTCTTCCCAAATTCTCTATTTTGTTTATAAGCTGAGGGACAATTAAGGAGAATTTACTGTACATATCGATCTTGATCACATTTCTACTTATTATAGAGAGAAGGTATGTCAGAACTCAACTGTCTATCGTACTTTTGCTACGTTTTCCACGTACCAAGAAGAATCTTGAGGCATTGGGTGAAAAAAACATCTTAATTCGAATTAAATTGTTTTTGCAAAATCCATCATAATCGTATTCCTTCATCTTCCATGTGTAGGTATATAAAATTCTAAAATATATGTTCACGATTTACTTGTCAATTTTCAATGTTTGCCGAACAACCTTGCGCCAATCGCGTCATATTGGATTTGTCTCGCGTTGCCATCGGAATGAATAAACCGTGCTACTACAATCATATTATTAAAGTATTTCTCAATTATTTGGTGTGCATATTGTAAGTGCAATGGATACATTAAGGGAAAAGTAATACAGTAATTTCTCCCTAATTCGCGCTCAGATTGCGTACGAAAATGGACAATTTGTGAAGAGAAGATACGATTAACTGCTCGTTTTTGTAGTTACCGATTATCAACAACTATAAAAACGAGGCGCATGGCTCGAATAGTCGTATCTCCTCTTCCCAAATTGTCCATTTTTGTGCGCAATCTAAGCGCGAATTAGGGCGAAATATTACTGTAACTGGGAAAAAGCACTATATCAGAATATTTCTATTTCGTACACTGGTGGACAGAATGATAAGATTCACCAAGATTTTTGGGAATGAACATCTATTTGTACACGTACGTAGAAAATGAATACACAATAAAATAAGGTACAAGTTTTTACATAATGTATGGAAAAAGTAAACAAATCGTTCAATTCATTTGTTATTTATACAAAAAAGAAAAATTGAGATTTAGTGTGTGGACGAAATGATAATTCACTTTGAATAGAAAATAATAAAAGCATTAAAATGATATAAGTTTACATAATATTTTGAGCTTTGGTAATGTGTAGACTGTCATTTGCGTTGTACCGCTTCATTCTTTGTAATTCATGTTTCATTTAAATTTCTATACAGATCTTTTGTATGATCTTGATCCCAAATTTTTCCCAAGCTTCTAAGATTGCAGATTTTTATTCGGATATTGTATTATATTTTTAACCTAATAATAATATAATGTTGGACTGACTTTTCACCAAACATTTTCTATAATACTTAGATCAGGAGATGGCTAATTTAAAACCTTTATATTTTCCGTTTTAAGATAACTTTGTACTATGCGAGCGACATGCATAATATTATCTTGTTGAAATAGGTATATTTTTCCAGCAATTCTGCGAGTGTAAACCTCTATTTCTTCCTTAATTAAATTTAACGAACCAGCATTATTCGTACAGCCTTGAGAATAAATTTTATCTTCTTCTTGCCACTTTGATACCTGTCCATATCATTACTATATTACAACCACATTATCAGCGACTTAATACCCTTTGTTCCTTCCTCAAATCGTGGAAATGGTAATTCTATCCATCTGGATCATCTAAATTCCATTTCTTTTTATAATTCTTTTCCACTGTTTTCACCATTGAATATGCTCTATTACAAAACTTAATTGGACGGTCTTACGTTTGTCTGTTAATGGCGGCTTTATAGCAAATTTCATCCGTTTTAAGCGGCTTACTCTTTGTATCAATTTTTTTACTATTTTAATAGACATGTCAACGTCATAATCAACAGCAACTTGTCAAGGCATAAGTTCAGAGTTCGATGGGGTTGAAAGAAGGGGTTGCAGGTCTTCCCTCCGATTACTTTTTCCCATATTCTTCGGGGTTTTGTAGAAAATGTATAACACGTCGATTTCTTTTCAATCTTTTTGCAATTTGTACTTGATTTTCTCCATTGCACTTTAACTACAGTACGTTGATCTTCTCATTTCATAGTTAAATTTTGGGTTAAAATGTACTTAAGGGGGTATTCTAATTTGAACTTTTGAAAAAATAAATTTTTTTTGCATATTCTTAAAGGATATAGTTTCAAAAATACATCTCTCGAATCTTACATGCGAACTTCTAAAATTAACGAAGCGAAAGACGATACTAAATATTAAAGGCATTTCTCTCGAAACTATGTTTTTTAGAATGATGTTCACGATGTCTGGAAATCTACTTGACCAATTAGCTCAAATTTTTAAGTACGTATTTAGTACATGTCTGACCACAGCTCCTAATAGAATCAGCATAACCTTTTTTAAAAGCGACCATGTTTGAGAGTATGCAGCGCCACTAATTTTAACTATTTTTTGTTCCAAAAGGTTTGAAAACATCGTTGAAACACGCACATATAAACTTTGTCAATTTGACTGCAGAAGGTATAATAGTTTCTTTGCAAAAAAGTCCCTAACAAAGTTAAAAACACACGCACTTCACATTAAAATACCCCCTTAAACACTTTAAAATTAACTATTAATAAATAATTTCTATACAATAGACTCGCGTAGAACTTCAAGGACGTTTTATAACTAATTAATTCAAGTGCCTTAACATTTTGTCCACTTGAAATTTCAAAACAACGAACTTCAAAGACCATAGTGCTCTGAATTACGTTCTCTCACTCATAACGCAGTTTATTCTTAATAACTCGATTACGGATCTTTATACAAAATACGAATTGTCTGCATCGGTTAATGGAAATAAGAGTATCTTAAAAATTGCATTCTTTCCTTAATAATTTTAGTGGATCGAAAGTAATAGGAGAGACCGAGGCTAGAAGTTCCAATTTTGAGAAAACATAAAAATTGACTAAGAAATAATGCAGTTACTTTTTTTCGTTTCTGATTAATTTATTATTAAATTGATTCTACTTTAAGATTGTCAACTCAAATTTAACGTATCACAATAAGTTTTTCATAGAAACTCGTTCTTTTATGGTCAACTCAAGTGAAACTTCTTACCCTGTCATGGGGCAAATTGTTAACGCTCTGGGATAAGTTGTTGCTAAGAAATAAATGTTAACTGCTAGTGAACTATTTCATTCTCTGATGAAATAAAATACAATTTTATTAATAACGTTTGCTTATTAACTTCGGATTAACAGAAATACGTATATTTTTTTTTGAAAGAAAAAAATATACTATCTTTGGCACAAACGTTAATGTAGTAAAATGAAAATAATAATCTAATATTATGATAATTTGGGAACAACTTTACTTAAATCTAATAGAAATAGCCTTTCAAACGAAAAAAATTAAATATCGTCAAATAACTCGTCAGAATCATAGTTCGGACAAATACAGATTTACTTTCTTTATACATTTGGTATGAGCCCAGTTCTTGCGTAACATACGCTAAATCTATTCTTCCCTGGACGGTGATTTAGAATATGCATCGCAACACAACAGGAACTATTTTTACATTTGAGGTGGGGTAAGTTGTTACAATAACAATATGCCTCGAATCACGGGAACAACTAGCCCCAATTGACATGCGTGGTAATGTATAAAAATAATTTATTTATATATTCATATATCCTCTCTAATAAATTTTATTTATACGAACAGAACGATAGACGATATTGACATTAAATAATTGAATTAGGCAAAAGAAATAGTGACTGCGAAATGTTTACTTACCTGGTATGCAACTACTATCTTGTCTAAAACTACACAATTCGCTGTCGCGGACGCTATTAAAATGGTTGACAGCGTGGCGTGATCGGTCCATACTTTCAAAACAATTGAAATCATAACGTAATTCTTTTTTATTTGGAATATGTTACCATCGGAACAACTTACCCCCGCAACTTCCAGCCCCGGTGTCCCCTATATTGACACTGTTGGAGGGTTGGTTAAATAATCTTTCTGCGTTGTGAATATGCTTATACAGGTAATATATTTGTATAATATGCTTATATAATATAGTCTTCGATAGTTTATACGACAAGAAAAGACTCACACGGAACATATAATATCGCCGCTAGGCGATCTCTAACATCGACAGGGTAAGAAGTTTCACTTGAGTTGACCATAAAAGAACGAGTTTCTATGAAAAACTTATTGTGATACGTTAAATTTGAGTTGACAATCTTAAAGTAGAATCAATTTAATAATAAATTGATCAGAAACGAAAAAAAGTATCTACATAGACACATCGCACGAATGTCCCGAACGCAAGGCATTCAAATCATAATATATATATATGAATCCAATACACAAATAAATTAAGAGATATCGCGATTACCACGGAAACTAATGTTCCGACAGACATTGTTAAATGTTTTGAATCTTTCCGCTGCACGACGTTACAAATATTCGTCGTAAATACATAAAATCTAGTAACAACATTATGAGATTTCTTACGCGAAGAATGGTGCAGTTGTCATTTTTTTTTGTCCACCAGTGTACCAAGTATCAACGTCTGAAAGAGGCCTCGGTATTCGCTTGTAGCCGCGTTGACCAAAAAAGACAAAAAAAGAATGATCCTCGATGTTAGAGATCGGAAATGGCAGCCGTGGCTAACGATAGATGGAACAAAGGACGTGGCAGAGCACCGATCATTCAACAGGCAATCGATTAAACGTCATTACGTGTATCGTTTAGCTACCGATCTTCGGCCGATTCGAGATCAAAGAACGGTGGAAAATGCGATACGGAGTAAAGTGAAACAGGCCTGCGCCCGGGCAGGGAAAAGACTCGGCCGGGCGGAGCCAGGGAAAAGACCACCTCCACCTCCTCGGGATCACCTTCGAAGTGACCAATACACCGCTCGACTAGAGCCATTAAGGTACTTTTCATCCCAGATATTCCCTCCTCGACAGGCCCCGGGACGAAGGCGGAGCCTTCCACGGTTTCAGGTTGTACCTGCCTTTCTTTTCCTTTCTTTTGGTCGCGTTCCCTTCTTGGCCAGTGTGCATCCGATTCGGCAACCGAACAGTTCGAGCCCAGAGCCCGAAGCAAACAGATCTCTCTCACGATCGCTGCACGTTGCATCCGGAGCAAGCCGATGGTTCTCTCGTTTTCCTCGATTTCACGCAGCCTGACAACTCGCACACAGCCGATCGTTTCGGGACTCTGCCGAGAGCTCGTTTCCGTACCGACGCGTTTCCCGTGCCGATCGAACCGCGAGCCGAAAAAGTGACCGAACGCCGATCCCCGAGATACCTCCAACGAACGAACGACATTTTCTATTTTCGACTTTCTTCGATCTCTTTTTATCTCTACGGTGGTGATACAGTGATTAGAGACTGTCGAGGGAACAACTATCGGCTAGATGGCTGTCAGCACTCTGAACATGGCACCTTACTTCACTGGATACCCATTTCAAGGTAAATTATGTCCCGTGTTTATTGTATGTAACGACAGCCGTTTAAACCCGATCTCTTTCGTGCACATCTATTTTTATCGAATCATTCGTATGATCTTTGTAGGTGAACTTGAACGATTAGTTTACGAAAAGCTTGATTGAACTTAGGAAGTGATTAGAAATTAAAATCTTACAAGCTGTGCTTTGACATCTTTGGTAAAAATAGCGTCGAATTGCAATCTTAAAACTTTCGATCACTTCGGCAAAAGTAGCGTTAATGTTTCAACGATCGCTTTGTATGTTGCGTAGAACAAGCGTTCGAGAAGAACTGCTTCGGATGCACAATTCTCGGTGTCGGAGCTGTCGCGCGACAGCCGCGTGTCATGCTGTGCCGTGGAAGCTGCGAATCTCCTTCGAAAGCGATCATTTTGTGTCACTTACGGAGCTTCGATAGATGAAACATGCATTTAATTGTTGCTGGATTTCCGTGCTCCGTAACTGTAACGCTTTCGATATTATTTTCGATGATACTTGGGTTGTTTTCGAGAGAAGTGTCCGTTTACTATAATGATACCGAAGGGACGAACGGTAATTTATGGCCGTATGCTACAATTATACGGTCTCTATGCTTTTTTAACCCCTTTCTTTTGCGGTTGCAGCGACTACGATTTCTTCGTAGTTCATAATTCGCTGGAAGAACAAAAGGATTGATAACTATTGTATGTTCATACATTAACAACGATAAAATAGAATATTATTTCGATTTAAGCGAACTAAACAACATTTGTTAGGCTCTGTTCAGAATCTCTGTCACGAGTCTGACACGATATTGTAGGGCAAGAGGTTAACAGTGGAACTGCGAAATCAGTCAAAATGACTGGTTTCTGATTTTTCTTTCGCAGTTAGAAACGTGTGTATGAGTAATTGTTTAATAAACTTCTGCACCCAAGAATACTACAATTATTAGACTATGGATTTGATGCATTTGTAATAAAAACAAGATGATGCAACTTAAAACAGTAGGGGGAACGAAAGAATTGTACACTATGTTTACAGAGCACTAAAAGCAACCATTTTATTTTGCTTAATAAAAGTAACAAAGATATCTTTTTGCAGATTATTAGCGACTCAAAGAAACAAATTTATCGAACTAGTTTTCCATAAATGTATGTTTATGAACATCGTCACTGTTACGAACAACGTCGATATATTATTCACAGTTTATCGAGATCATTAACACTAGAACTATTATCAAACCAGTCGAAATGTCTGGTTTCCGATTTTTTCTTTCACAACTCCTGATACTGTAAAAATGTCTTTGTCAGCAACTTTTATACGAGCTTCTTCGTTCAAGCATATATTATAATAAAAATCGTGCAAGTTGAAATGAATCCAATCTCGTCGATGTTATAAAATGATAAACATTAGCCACGTTTAGGGCACGGTAGTTCTAGTGTTAAAGAGAGGAAGAAACTTCGAATGCATCTACTGTTTCTTGCACACGATGGAGGTAATTTATATTTTGCATAAAAATCCACGGTTTATATATTATAACAGAAAAATCATACGAAGGTTTGAGTAAATCTAACCTTGTCATTGGTATAAAACAATATACGTTATCCTTGCTTACGGCTAGTTGTAGTGTGAAGTGCTTTTACACGCAATAGATGCATCGAATCCACACGTATATAATTCCTTTTTTAATTTAAGACGCGAGCAGGGAAAAATAACTTTCTGATAAATTGTACAGACAGCTGATTTTCATATTTGAAATTACCATTTTCAATTAACCGATTAGATAGTAGTTTACAAACTTTACCCAATCAACGGTCTTTACCTGGCCCGACGGTTTGTGCGAGTAGTTTGTGTTAACGACAGTTACCTACTCTCACCTCTTTATTTCAATACTCTGCTAAAAATGTCAGAAAAGATAGACAATGAATACCCCCTAAGCGCCGAATTAATAAACCGCGAATTTTTGTATAAAACAAAACTAGTCTGCGGTAATAAACAACGGGGAGAAGAGTTAAATTTAAATATGTTTCTTCTCTTTGGTAAGTCGAAAATCATGTAACAGTTATTTTAAAAGTCTTTGAATGTTTAAATATATAAAATGTGTAGTCTACTAATTATTTTAATTTCATATCCTGACACGAAATTAATACGCTTTGCTCATGCGTCGCTTGTACTCACTGACACATGATTTCACCATTGTAACATCGTTTTCATGATAAAATCTGATGTGGTAATATTTCTTGTTCGAGAAACCGTACAAAAACGAAATTACCCTGGCTTTCGTTTCTTTTATCTTTCTGATGATGATTTAACCTCGAGCACGATTTTTGTTCTATGATCCAGATTTTATTTCAAATTAGAAGACACGAGTTACATTCAAATTCAGTGGATCATGTATGAAATCTTCGTCACGAGTGTGACTTGTTACAGTGCAATGGGTTTTAAGAAGTTTCTAAAAGAAGTTAGATACTTCGCTTTACTTTATTTATGCGACTAGAGAGAGAGAGAGAATAGGTGTTTTCTTAAAATAGGGAAATTTTTCTTTGATCTCTAAAGCAACGATTTATTAGAGGCGGGCACTATTCGAATTGTTTCGAATAAATATTTATCTAAGATAAATATACAAATGAATTCTTTTTAGTCGAATATTTTATTCTAATAATAATTATTCATTATTGGTCACACAATTCGAATAATTCTTCGAACAATTAATACATTAGAGTCTCTGTTATCCGAACGTTCATTCTTGCAATAACCTGATACCAAAACATTTTTTATTATCTAACAATTTCATACATGTTCTCTACT